CACAGTCACCCACATTGCCCTCGAGAAGGATTCCAGGAAACATCAAAGAACGAGATTGACTGTGAAGATGTCGTTGATTCTCAGGTCCCTTTCTGCACCCAGGGCACAGCTGACAACCCAACCTGGGGACAGGTGATGTCATCACTAGGCAACAGTGGGGGCATAATGTTCCAGAGATTTCTCGGAAAGGGAAGAGTGTGAAAGTGAGGGGCTAAGATCTGACAGGACAAGACAGGGCAGAGGCTCCTCCATCTTGTGTCCTTCCATGATAGAGAATCCTTGGGAAAACTACCCAACACTGTTCTGGAAACCAAAGGTCCGGATGTCCTCACTAATTTATCTTAGCCTTTGTTAACATTGCTTTTTTTGTGCAGGAACCCCCTCCGGCTGGCTACGTGCTTATCTTAGGTTCTGTTAAAAACTGCTTCAAACTGCTTACTCTGTAAAATGCCCTCCAACCCTCCCACACCCCATCCCTGCAACTGCCCGTGGAGGCTCTGCCCTCAGTCCTGAATGCTTGGGTGTGGTTCCAGCCGGAATAAAGACTTTCAATTGGCTATACACTGTGTCTGAGTGCTCATCTCTGGTGGGCTACTTGTAACAGAAAGATGAGTCTAAGAAGTGATGGCTGATACTGACTGTCGACTGGTGGATTATCTGGCTGGATTTTGAATCATTTAGGAGAAAGGCCTCTGGGAGCATCCTCAAGAGATTGTCTAGATTGGGTTGACTGAGGTGGGAAGACGCCCTGACTACCAGACTAATGACACACCAGTGGCTGTCATTCAGTTTCCTGACTGCGGTTTCTGCTTCCTCCTCTTGCCATTGTCACTTTCCCAATAGTATATAGACTGTACCCTCAAACTGTGAGCAAAAAAAACCCAACCAAAACAAACAAAACCCCTCTCCCTTAAGTTGCTTTTGCTAGGATGTTTTATCACAGCCCAGGAAGGGAGACTAAGATGAGGGGTTTGGGTACCACCCCGAAGGGCATCTCATCAAATGGAACCACTTGCAACGGTCCTAATGTGCAGGAACACACTGAAGACTCACTCACAACACACTCATGTGAAGACTGGCTTTGGGAGTAGCCGGTCACCAGCTCTGCAGGGAGAGCCTTCCGGGTTATCACGCATCCTGAGCAGACTCAATTAGACCCCAGACCTTGCTAACAGTTCAGCCAGCCAGTTCCGAAGCTCAGCCCCTCACCCTTCTTGACCCCAGGATATCTGCAGGCCTCAGGGAAGCCTGGCCATTGGTCCCCTGACCTGTCTCCGTACCTACAGTCATACCTCTGTAGCACCTGGGCTTGGGCAGAAGGGCAGAGTCTAGTTTCCAAGCAAAGTGCAAAGACCTGGGCTTCACCTCCAAAGGAGACTCAAGAGTCTCAAAGGTAACTCAGCTCAGTCCCAACCTCAGGACAGCGTACTGCTGAAGCCACGGGAGAGGTTGCAGCTGTTAGATCATTGAACCCTGCCCCCAACCCCAACTTGAGAAGGAAACCCCTAGAGGGACACTCAGGGAACACCTGCTAGAAGTGTTTACAAGACACTGAGCTAAGTACCATCAAAACCATGACCTCAGAGGTGCTGGGAGGGACTGCGGAGTTGCTTTTCACCTCCGCCTTAAAGTGGGTTCTGGGGACCAAATTCAGATTGTCGGGCTTGCCTGGCAAGTGCCATTAGCAGCTGCGCTATCTCAGTGGCTTCAATAATGAGGGTTTCTGTTACCCACAAGGTCCCCTGGGAACTACAGACCTGTTTTTGTTTTGTTTGTTTGTTTGTTTGTTTGTTTTGTCAGCTATCTTACATGTTTTGGAACTTTATATAATTGAAATAATATAGTATGTATATTTGCTTTAATTTAATTTTTTTTATTAAGCATTTTATTCGTTTACATTTCAAATGATATCCCCCTTGCTGGTCACCCCTGCACCAACCCCTCCCCCCAATCCCTTCCCTCCTAATGTTGTTTTGTTTTGAGACTGGGCTTCACTAAGTAGCCCTGAGTGCCCTGAATTTTACAGAGATTCACCTGTCTCTGTATCCAGAGTGCTGAGACTGAAGGTGTGTGCTGCCATGCCTAGCATGTATATACATTAATATAATAATATAGATTAACATATACTAAATAGGCTCTTTCTCTGTAGCTCTGGCTAGCCTGGAACTCATCTGAAGCCCAGGCTGGATTGTCTCTAAAAAGCAACAAAAAAGTTTTATTTATGTGTGTGATACAGCTTGAGTTGATATGAACATGTGGTACAGGGATGGATGGAAATGTTTCCATCTTCAGTCATGTACAGTGGCACACAACTTTAATCCCAGCACTCAGGAGGCAGAGCCAGGCAGATCTCTGTGAGTTTGAGTACAGCCTGGTCTACACGGTGAGTTCTAGGACAGACAGGGCTACATAGGGAGACCTTGTCTTAGAAGAAAAAAAGAAAAAGAAAAAAGAAAAAGAAATTAATTATCTGGGCCAGTGAGATGGCTTAGCAGGAAGAGGGGCTTGCTGTGAAAGCCAGGGAAACTAAGTTCAATTCCCAAAAGGTGCATAAAGATGGAAGAAGGGAACTGTCCCCCAAAGTGTTCTTTGACTTCCACACACACTGTCACCCCCACCGATAATAAGTCAACAAAACTTTCAAAGTTCTTTTCTGTTCTTTCTTTCGTCTTTCTCTCTCTCTCTCTCTCTCTCTCTCTCTCTCTCTCTCTCTCTCTCTCGTAGTTTGATATTATTGTCTCAGGATATTGTTGGAAAGTCTAGTCTTTTGTCATCTATAGTTCTCAAAATCCAGTTGATTATGTATGTGTGGGCTCACCTTGTTCTTAAGGAGGACATCAATCGACTCACCACAGTGAGAGCATCTCCTCAAACTGATGGTTTTTATAAAATTGTCTGTGCCTGTGTGTGTGTGCATGTGTGTGAGTGTGTGCATGTGTGTGAGTGTATGTGTAAATGTGTTTATGTATGTGTATGTATGTGTGTATTTGTGTGTGTGTATGTGAATGTGTGTGTGTAAATGTGTTTATGTATGTGTATGTATGTGTGTATTTGTGTGTGTATGTGTGTGTATTTGTGTGTATGTTTGTGTATATGTGTGTGAGTGTGTGTATCTGTGTGTGTGTATGTTTGTGTATATGTGTGTGTGAGTATGTGTATTTGTGTGTATGTTTGTGTATATGTGTGTGTGAGTGTGTATATGTGAGTGTTGTTAGCATTGGGGGAGGGATGCTGGAGAGATGGTTCAGCAGGAAAGAGAAGAAAATGGTGCTTACCTCCAGCACTCATGTCGGGCAGTCGGCGGTCCCCAGAAGAGGAGAAGGAAGAGGAGGAGCTAGGAGAGAGGGAGAGATCCAGCAGCCATGGAGAACTACAGATGCATCAAGAACAGTCCTGGGTAATGTTCATGTCTAGGTTAGTTAATTGGGTTAACAATTCTAATTGTGTGGGCATCTTGTTAACTGAACATTTCCAAATATATAAATATTGGATAATCTTTAAACATAAAAGTCTTAATTCTACTGGGTACCGTGGGCATGGTGGGTATTCTGGGGTTCAGCCAAGCTTAGTAGAGACAGTTTGGGAGATTGGCAAAGCCATCTCCCACGCTGGCATCTCGTGGGTGCCAGGGCCAGTGTTTCTGGCTGGCCAGAGCCACAGTCTCGCGGATCTAGTTGTGGTGCACATGGCCTGTGGCTGCTTCCAGCTTTGGTGTGCTTGGCTCTGGCCGCTAAACTTGACGGCCTAAGCTAAGCAGAGCCACGCTGACAGAATAGACGGCCCGCGCTGGGGGTTTTAAATAATATCCACTACAACCACCTGTAATTCCAGCTCCAGTGGGATCTGGTGCCCTTCTCCTGCCTCTGCAGACACCAGGGCACTCCTGCATGTGCACGCGCGCACACACAAACACGCGTGCACACACACACTAACAAGCATTGGCTATAGGTCTTGTTCCATTGTCCAGCTGTGATCTATAGAACACATTTGGAAACACTGGCTTGTATAGTCACATAATCTCCTGTCACAGACAGGAGAGAGGGACCCACCTCATGGGATGGTGGTGGCATCTATAATCTTGATTTCAGATCCTTTCATTTGTTAACTGAAACACTGACTGAAATTCAGGTTCCCACATTGGTTGTGCATTTTTAAACTTGTGTGTGGTTCGTGTGAGGGCGAGTGTGTATGCATTTGTGCGTGTACACATGTGGAACCTAGGGATGACCTTAGATGTTGTTTTCCCTCATACACAGTCCACTGGGATCTTGGGCCGGTCAATCAGACTAGGCTGACTACTCAGTGAGGTTCTGGAATCTTCCAATCTCTGTTTCCCCTGTGCTCAGATTACAAACATATGACACACCTGGCTGATTATGTACCTGGTCAGCATCAGACTCGGTTCCCTGGGCTCGGATGGCAGGCACTTAGCTGATTGAACCATCCTTCATCCCTCATAGCAACCATTGAATATTATGGTTTGGATATGCATCCCCCAAGTTCCATATGTTGGAAGCTTGGTCTTCACCCTGTGGTGCTGACTTCTGGGAGGTGGGAGACCTCTCCTCGCCAGGTGGAGTCTAGTGGGAGGTCTCTAGATTATTTGTGGCATGTTCTGAAAGGGGACTTTGTGTCTCTCCACTTCTGCATCCTGATGTAAGAAGTCTTCTCTGCCACACTTTCCCACCGTCACATTTTATATTTGTCAGAGGCCTAAATTCATGGGGTCTTCCTAACCTTGTACTGGAACCCGAGGAACAGGAACCCAAACCCAAATAATCTTTTTTTGTTGTTGTTTTGTTTTTTGTTTTTTGTTTTTTTTAAAAAGATTTATTTATTTTATGTTTATGAGTACACTGTAGCTATCTTCAGACACACCAGAAGAGGGCATCAGATCCCATTACAGATGGTTGTGAGCCACCATGTGGTTGCTAGGAATTGAACTCAGGACTTCTGGAAGAGCAGTCAGTGCTCTTAACCGCTGAGCCATCTCTCCAGCCCCCAAATAATCTTTTATTCTTATTTGTTTGTTTGTTTGTTTGTTTATTTTTGAGACAAAGTTTCTCTGTGTAGCCCTGGCTGTCCTGGAACTCACTCTGTAGAGCAGGCTGGCCTTGAACTCAGAGATCTGCCTGCCTCTGCCTCCTGAGTGCTGGGATTAAAGGCATACACCACTACTGTCCAACCTATCTTTTTTTTAAAATCAGTTAATTGCCCCAGTTATTTTGTTATAGTAACATGAAGCTAAGACCCTGAACTTGTAAAGCTTTAGCTTAAAAAAAAAAAAAAAGCACCATACCTCATGTAAGGTTTGGAATTAACATAGAATCTCCTGTCAATCAACACTCATATAAGTCCTCATCAGCCTATGCCATCCCTCTCATGGTGAAGTCAACACCCCCCCGCCAAGGAAATCGGGGCTGTGTTCTCCAAAGTCTTCCGGTTGCTATGGGAGCACCAAAGTGTCAGAGCTGTTACCCTCCCTGAAGGCCTGATTCTCAAGAGCCCTTCTCAGAGAAGGAGCTATGTATGGGTCCTCGGAGGCATCAAAAGGATGTTGCCTTGGTAGGCAGAGAAGGTGTGTGAGGCTTGGCCGTGGTTACTTCTTTCTCTTCTGGAAACTCCATTCCATTCCTCTTGGCAAAAGCATAGTTTATCTCTACGAATGTCCTGCCCTTTGTCTCAGGGATTACCACGTAGATGTAAGCGGCAGTGAGGAGACAGACGCCAGCAAAGATGAGAAAGCTGTAGGCCCCGATGGCCACCTAGAGAGGGGACAGGAGGAGGGAGACCCTTCAGACAACACACTTGGTGCCTTTGTGAGTCACAGGGACTTTCTTCATGGCCAAATTTATTCTATCCCTAGAGGGAAAAAAAAAAATCGAGAAGACTGGGTCCCTCCCTAACCTCCAAAGGAATCTTTAGTGTTTGGCTCATGGGTCCTTCCTCAATTGAAAGTCTGGAGTCTGGCCGACTCAGGAGAGGGAGGCAGCAGGGTTGGCTGCTGATCTTCACAGCCCTGAGCCACCAGCCCCTCAGCAATGAGACATTTCCAGCTCTGGGTGCCCCTCTGTAAGCGGGGCATGGCATACGCAAGGATTGTTATCAGTTGGGTTCCACGGCATGTGCTTCTAACTATGAGTGCTGAAGCAGGGGGATTAAGAGTTACAGGCTTGGGTAGGGCATTGCCTATCACACATGTTAGGTTCTAGGTTTGATCACAGGCACTGGAAAATAAGTACATACAAGGAACTGGGCTGGGGTGAGTCTGCTTGTGCCCCTTTGAACCGGTAGATTTTGGGGGGATGGTTGTGTTTAGAGACAAGAGTTCGTGTAGCCCAGGCTGGCTGGGATGCATATAGCTAAGGATGGCCCTGGACTTCTGATCTTTCTGTCTCTACCTTCCAAGCGCTGGTTTCACAGATCTGTACCACCATATGCAGTTTATGCTGTGTTGAGGCTTGAACTCAAACCTTTGTGCATGATAGGCAAACGTTCTTACCAACTGAACTATACCCCTAGCCTCTGGGAGGTGCTCTTCATAAAGGAGGAGTTACTACCTGCCTTGAGGTAAGACCAGTGGCCAAATGTGGGACGTAAAACCACACCAGGAAGTTTGGTGGGTAGAGCAGGTGGAGACCGGGAGACTCGGTGGGCACACACCCGAGGCTTAGGGACTCCCAGCTCCCTGCCAGACTCCTGACTTGGAACACATGCCATGCTTCTCACATAAAAGAAATGTGTTCTATGGTCACATAGGCTCAAAACAGAGATCTCCATGCTTATGAGGTACCCAGAGGCCTGGAGGGCTTAGCCAATAAATGTCCCTTCCCAGATATTCCTCCCTACAAAAGGTTTTTAATCTCAGGCCCACCCTGAGAAGTGGGGGTTTTGCATATCCATTTTCCACCATGACAATAAACTGTTTAGAACCATGGACTGTCTCCGCGGGGAGCCATGAAGAGGGCCTTCGCCTACAGATCTGTAGCCTAAAATTCCTTAGAAGGCCTCTCTGTGCTCTCAGCCACCAAGCCTGCCACTTCATCCGGGCTGGGGCAAGCTGGAGTTCCCCCTATCCCCACCCCCACTCCCTGGGCCCAGCCTGCAGGGCAGTTGGGGCCATTCTCTGCTCGCCCGCGACTCCCAGCGGCACCTGGACGTCCAAGAGTCTGAGAATCCCACAGCCCTACCCTCATTGCAGGCCCCGGGGACCTCCTAACCAGCACTGGCTTTCCCACATCCTAGGCTGTGCTCTCCCCCATCCCCCAGCGGTGCCTCAGTGCTACCCTACAGCCCGGCACCTGCCCCAGCCTCAGCGTGGTATAAGCACAAACTCCCCACTTTCTGACTCCCCAAGGCCCTGAGCGGCTCTGCCCTGTGTTGGAGCGGAGCCAGGCCAATAGCCCAGATTGGCGTGCAGGGCCACTCACCTGGATGGATGGAAACGTCAAGCCCACGATGAAGTTGGTGAGCCAGTGCACAGCCCCGTCCACTGTGAATGCGGCCGTCCGAGAGGACTGCAGGACAATCTCTGTCCTCACCACCGAGGGGACAGGGCCTGGGGGAAAAGGAATACTCAGAGGGTCCTGCAGGCTGCTAGGACCTGCCATGACCTCACTTCGAATCTCACACCTTTAGAGCACATCACCCCTCTGTATGGGTCACCCAAACTATGGCAGAGGTTTGAAAAGCCCAGGGTGGCGACCGACACTGTTTTTCCCTTCCGGATGCTCTCGAAGGTTTGTAGAACCCAGCAGATGCTTCTTGGGATCCTCGAAGCGCAATCCTCCCCAGCCTGGCTCTCTATCGGCCCAGTTCTGAAATGCTTGTCGGGAGTTGCTATGCCCTGTGAACTCCAGGCTTGGACATTGCTGCCCATCCCCCCCCAACCCCCAATAGTGTGTACAGGGATGGTAAGGCCAGCTCTCCACCTCTTTCCTGATTCCAAATCTTTCTCCGTTGTCTCATTGTTGCTTCCTGAGAGGGTTTTGTCTCAAATGTCTATAGCTATGTTTCTCCCTGATTGCTATCTCCATGGGAAAAAAAACCTGGTATTTTTTAGGGGCCTGTAAGATGGCTCAGTGGGTAAAGAGTTTGTTGCCAAGCTTGAGGACCTAAGTCGACCCCAAGACCCACAAAGTGGAAGAGAATCGTCTCCCACAAGTGGTCTCTGGCCTCCACATATGCATCATAGCATATGCAAACAGACGGGCCTATAAATAAATGAATAAAATGTAAAAAAAAAATTAAAATTATGTTTTAGAAAAGGGCTTCTTTATCTCAGGCTGGTTTTTAATTCACCTAGTAGTCGAGGAGTGTGTAGCCCTGGCTAGCCCGGAACTCATGTATGCATGAATGAAACTGATAATACATTTTAAAAGATCGAGTAGGTCCAGAGCTGGACCGGGTAACACACAATTGTAATCCTAGCTCTTGGGGGCTGAGGCAGGAAGATCGAGAGCTTGAAGGCAGCCTAGTAAGGAAGATTTTATACAGTAAAATTCTGACTCCAATACCCCGAACCGAAAAAAGAATGTGGAGCCGTACAGGTCAGAAGACGAGCTGTTTGAAAGGTAGTGGTAGAGGAAAGACGAATGTACAGCCACGGACTCAAGTATTTATTGAGTACCTTAACGCGTGTCGAGCTCAAGAGACTGGTAGAGGCGGAGGACCCGAGCAAGAACTTACTGGGCCCTATGGAATGTCCCACGATGTAGGCGAAGACGCAGATGATGCCAAGGTAAGACAGCTCCGGGACCGTGCTCTGTAGGAGAAGCAGCCCTGTGCATCAGAGGGCGTGGCCTGGGACCTCCAGGGGGCCCCAAGCCAAGAGCCTCATGGGAAGCTGAGGCGACCTGTGGCTTCCCCTGTCCTGCTGCAAAAAATTCTGAGTCCCACAGAGGCTACAAGGATTCTAGGTAAGGAGAGGAGGCAGATGGGGACAAGGATTGAGGCAGAGGCTCTCCTTCACCAAGGCTGCCGAAACCGAACCGCGGTGGAGTTGAACAGACACCTGCTTATCACTCAGGTCTGTTCAGGCTGCTTTGCGTTCCCAGAAATCACTGCGTTTTATTTTCATGTCACCCTCTCTGAGCGTGGATAGTATTGTTTTTAGTCCCACAAATGTGGATCAGAGCCCACAGAATCCTGAACCTCAACCAGGAGGACCTCAGCATCAGCCCCTCGGGGACAGAGCAATGGTTGTCACATACTTGAGGTGACTTGGTGGGGATTTCAACTTATTTGGCAATTGTCTGCAGAGAATCCTTTTAGGTGGGTGGTTTGAATATAATTGATCCATGGGAAGTGGCACTTTAGGAGGTGTGGCCTTGTAGGAGGAAGTGTGTCACTGTGTAGGCGGGCTTTGAGGACTCCTAGGCTCAAGCTCCGCCTAATGCAGAAGAGACCCTCCTCCTAGCTGTCTGCAGAAGACAATCCCCTCCTGGCTGCCTTTGGATCAAGATGTATAACTCTCAGCTCCTTCTCCAGCACCATGTCTGCCTGCAGGCTGCCATGCTTCCTGCCATGATGACAATGGACTGAACCTTTAAAACTGTAAGCCAGCTCCTTTAAGAGGAGTTGTTTGGGTCATGGTATCTGTTCACAGCAGTAAAACCCTAAGACACTGCCCTAGGATCAAGGGAGCCCCAAACCACCTCCTAATACTTGAGGTTCTGCTCCTAACGGCCAACGGAATGGCAGATAACAAAACCACGTTAACAGACTTAACTGAACGGAATGGCAGACTCCAAGCTAAGTGGCCAGCTAACAAATGCTGCAAAGGAGCCACTGACTGACAGCGGGGAGGGGAGCCATGGAGGGCCACCAGGGCTTTTGACACAGGGACACGATCTCTTCTCTTTCTTTTCCATCTCGTATCCCCTCCTGGTTTACATAATGAGATCCTGGCCAGCTGGAGCTACATGGTCCCCAAGTATTTTACAGCACCTATTGTAACCGTCTCCTTACCAGGCTCAGCTAGATCTGGATTTGGGTTTGGCTGATGAACATTGGAACTTAGCTCTCTCAACATCTGGCAGGATTCCAAGAGGGGATCCTCAAGACTGTGTTTATAAATCAGAGTCCAGGGGCTACTAGAGAGATAGTTTAGCACTTAAAAGCATCTGCTGCTCTTATAGAGGACCTGAGATCAACTCCCAGCATCTACATCAGGTGAATCCCAGCTGCCTGCAAGTCCAGGGTCACGCTGAGTTTCAGGCCTGCATTTAAGGGCACAGGGAGCCAAATCACTCACGAGCTTCACACTGGGAGTGGGCTTTCTGAAGCAGTTGTCCATGAATGGAGGCTGCTGGAGAGGACTGAGACCCATCCATGCTGTTGGAACCTTGAGCCCTTTATGCCAGCTTCCCACCCACGGGGCGGGACATGAGCACAGACCTGAAGGAGGAGTGCCACCGTCAGCACCAGGCAGGCAGAGCCACAGATACCATAGCCAGACAGCAGGAGGATCCGCCGCCCCAGACGCTCTACGATGACAGCCTGCAGGGGTGAATGAGTCTATTGGTGCTAAGGATTGACCTCGAAGCCCCACCCTCTTCTGCTTGGCTCTCCTTAGGTGCCCCTTCCTCTCCCCTGCTACATCAGGTAGCCTATTTGGTGTAAGTTACACCTTGGGATTTTACCATCTTTGTCATTTACAGACCCTTGGGTATGTACTCCCGGCAGCGCCGTTTCCTGTAGTAACCACATTAAATTCTTTTAAGTATATGTGTGTGCCTGCTTGACTTAATGTACAATGTTCATGCAGTACCCGCGGAGGCCAGTAGAGGGAGCTGGATATCCCAGAACTAGAGCTACAGTGGGTTGTGAACTTCCCAATATCAGTGCTGACACACAAACTCAGGTCTTGCGCAAGAGCAGTGAGCACTCTTAACTGCTGAGCCGTCTCTCTGCCCCGAGAACCATATTTTCTAGTCTTGCATTTAATGAATGCTTCGACATCTTTGGGCCTTTCTCGCTCGGAAGGATTGTTCCTCTTGCAGGTTACTAGCGCCCAGAAGAGGCCAACAAACTATTGTCTGAGAGTGCATATCTCATCTTCAAGGAGAGCAAAGGAGAAAGGACTCTACCACCAACGTGTAAGCTGGCGGATCCTTTGTCCCTTCCCTCTAGCCTTCTGGGTAAGATCCATCTATCACCCTGAACACAGAGTAACATTACCAGCCCTCCTTCCCCACCCCCTGCTTGGAGAAATCCCAGACAGAAAAATAGCTCTGTCTGTTCCTAGAGACACAGTCTGAGATGGCCACAGTCTGAGATTGCCACTGTGCTCCGATCTGGCTTTCTCTGCATGGCAGTGGTCACCTTTGTTGTGCTGGCTAATTTAAGTCAACTCGATACAAGTGAGCTTCATTGAGAAAAAGCTTCCCTCAGACCAGTCTCTAGGTAAGCCTACAGGGAAATTTTTAAATTAATGATAGATGTGTGAGATCCCAGATCCGTTGTGGGTGATGCCACCTCCTGGCTGTGGTCCTGAGGTTTTACAAGAAAGCAGGTTGAGCAAGCCACGAGGAGTAAGCCAGTAAGTAGTACCCCTCCATGGCCTCTGCCTCAGCTCCTGCCTCCAGGTTCCTGCCCTGTGTGAGTTCCTTTCCTGACTTCCTTCCTTCTGTGATGAGCAATGCTGTGGAAGCCTGAGCCAAGCAAACCCTTTCCTCCCCAAGGTGCTTTGGTCAGGTGTCTCATCACAGCGATAGCATCCCTGATTGGAATGGCCGCCGGCAGGTCCTGGTATTAACAGGTGTGTGTGTGTGTGTGTGTGTGTGTGTGTGTGTGTAAGGTCCTGGCTGAGCAGGCTGGCCGAGGAGGATACAGTAGAAATGAAAATGTTTCTAGGGAGGCATGATGATACCACAAAGAGTATGCTGGTGTCTTAGGGTTACTATTGCTGTGATGAAACACCATGACCGAAAGCAAAGTAGGGAGGAAGGGTTGTTTCACTCAGAGTTCCACAGAGCAGTTCATCATCAACAGCAGTGAGGGCAGGACCTGGGCAGGGCAGGAACTGGGCAGGGCAGGAACCTGGAGGCAGAGCTGATGCAGAAGCACCTCTGCAACACAGCCTCTGCATGCTGACCCCGAGGAAACACTTCCCAGAAGATTTTCACCTCGCTGAAGCTGTTCTTTTTTTTTTTTTTTTTACCAGAGATGATTCTTCAGCCCCAGCTGACTGGAACCACAGATTCCCAACTCAAAATAGCAAACAGCCCTGGTAGTATCTGTAAATGACTCTCTCTGGAACTTCGCAAGCCAGGCCTCCACCACCTGCACTGTTAGTTAGGTGTTTGTTTACCTTTGAGACAGGGTTTCTCTGTGTAACCTTGGCATCCTTAAACTCACTCAGTAGACCGACCAGGCTAGCCTCAAACTCAGAGATCTGCCTGCCTCTGCCTCTCCAGTGCTGGGATTAAAGGTGTGCCCACCATTGCCTGACTCAACATTCTTATCTTCCAAACTCCCACTGCGGCTCACCACGCTTTGAACGCTTTCAACTCAGTGGCCTTTCTAGCCCAAAGTCCCAAAGTCCTTCCACAGTCCTCCCAAAAATGGCATTTGTGTCAGGTCTGTCACAGCAACACCTCATGATCCTGGAGTTCAATCTATATTTTAGCCAGTGTTCTTTAGAGGAACAGAATCTACAGGTCCAGCAATGGTTGTCTACCAACAGAAGGCCCAGGAATCCAGGGGTTTCTCAGTCCACAAGTCTGGATGTCTCGGGTGGCCTTCAGTATACACTGGAATTCGGAAGAAGTCTCTAATGGCAGTGAAGAAATAGACTTGCCAGTGCGATCGAGAACAGCAGGCAAGAGTGAACCTTCTTTATTCCACATGCTCTATATAGGCTGTCACAGAAGGTGTGGCCCAAATTAGAGATGGCTCTTCCAACCTCAGATGGTCTGGATTAAAGGTGGCTCTTCCATGGTGGGCAGTGGTGGCACACGCCTTTAATCCCAGCACTTGGGAGGCAGAGGCAGGTGGATCTCTTTGAGTTCAGCCCCCCACCCCCCAATACCCTACACGTGTGCCCAGCTGCCCGGGTTTTAGTTGATTGCAGATGTGGTCAAGTTGACTGTGAAGAATTACATCACAGTTGGGTTTGCAGTGCTTGCTTGTTCTTAAGTCTCTTGCTGCCCAGGCTGGTCTGGAATTCACTATGTTATCAAGGGTGACTTTGAACTCCTGATCCTCCTGCCTTCGCATCCGAAGTGCTGAGATTATAAGTGTGAGCCATCATGTGTATTATGCTACTGATACTGGGGACCAAACCCAGAAACTTGTGCATGCTTAGGCAAGCGCTCTGCTAACTGAACTATGCCCCAAACCTTGACCAAGGTTACTATTGTGCCTCCCAGACTAGGGTCACCAACACTCTCTGGCCTGAGGGGCTTTTGTCTTCCAGTCAGAGGACTGTTTGGGGACCCTGCCATGAGAGGCCACCCTCCACACCCAATAACTCACCGAGACGATAGTCATCACCAAGTTGATGACGCCAGAGCCCAGGGTTACATACTGAGACTGGGTGGGGTCCACACCAGCCGAGGTGTAGATGATATCTGCATAGTAGTTGACCTATAGTATAAACAGGGATGTGAGCAGAGGCCCTGTGACCTGTCACTGGATTCCCTTTCTCACTGTGAGCAATGGACAGTTTTGGGAGCCTGGGTTGGGGACCCTGGATAGGATGGAGCTAGCAGGGAGTGGTTATCTGGTAGATCTCACTCTGCCTTGGTATCTCTGAGTCTTGGCTTCTGTGCTTATAAAATGGGAACCAGGCCACAGTGCCACTAGGTAGTTTTCCCTGCATGACTTTACTATTCTGCACACCCAGCCTCTTGATTGTCTGGGGACAGCTCTGGCCCAGTCCCAGGATAGTCACAGAAAGCCACATAAGCTGGTCTCATTGGGTGGCTCCCAAGATCATTTTGCTAAACAATTCAACTCTTTTTTTTTTAAGATTTATTTATTCATTTTATTTATGAGTACACTGTCACTGTCTTCGGACACACCAGAATAGGGCATCCAATCTCGTTACGGACGGTTGTGAGCCACCATGTGGTTGCTGGGATTTGAACTCAGGACCTCTGGAAGAGCAGTCAGTGCTCTTAACCGCTGAGCCATCTCTCCAGCCCCACAATTCAACTCTTTTTTTTTTTTTTTTGAGACAGGGTTTCTCTGTATAGCCCTGGCTGTCCTGGAACTCACTCTGTAGACCAGGCTGGTCTCAAACTCAGAAATACACCTGCCTCTGCCTCCCAAGTGCTGGGATTAAAGGCATGTGCCACCACCGCCTGGCCATAATTCAACTCTTGAAGACAGATGTTTCTTACTGTTTCTTCTCCTAGACGTCAACAGGGTCACCTGTCCTCTCTCCAGTGGCTCCAGAATGGGCATTTGAGAGATTCTATTTGCCCATCCACAAGTAGAATGAAATAGCCACCAGAGAACATGACATATTTCAATGGCAAATGAGTTTACCAGGGCCCCCTGACCCAGGATGGATCAAGCAATGGCCCTTCTCTGTCTGGAGAAGACAGAGATTGTGATTGAGACCAGAGGTCAGGCAGTCCTTCGATGGTCTCTTATGGAGATGGTTAAAAAACTACAGGCAGGAGATTTTCTTTGGGGGATTAAGAAGCAAAGAAAAAAAGGCATATAGCAAGAGAAGAGTAAAGGGCAGGGAGAGGTGGTACCCACGGAGTCCAAAAGAGTTATAGAAGGTCGTGAGAGGTCATTTGAGTGCTGGGAAAGGAACCTGAACCCCAGGCAGGAGTAACAGTGGTCTTAAGCTATCTCCATCCATCCATCCACCCATCCATCCATCTATCCATCTATCTTTTTCTTCCTCTCTCTCTCTCTCTCTCTCTCTCTCTCTCTCTCTCTCTCTCTCTCTGATGAGCTACCTACATTTATCTATTTATTCATCCTTATTTTTATTGCATGTATTTATTCTCTGTGACATTCCGTGACACTTGAGTGGAAGTCTGAAGAGTTAGATCTCCCATTCCTGGTATGGGTCCTAGGGATCAAACTCAGGCTTGGTGCAAGCACATCTTAATACTGAACCATCCCGCAGGCGGAGGTCCTGTTTGTTGCAAAGGAAACACCCAGAGTGATAAAATGCACTGCTCTCCCAGAGCTCTCCTCCCAGCCCCTGCTTTGCCGCTCCTCCCACCTGGGGGCCCGGACTGAGCTTTATGGGAGTCAAAACGTAAAATGCTACTACTCCTTAAGGCCCAAGGGGACCAAAAATTTGGGGCGAGGTGCCAGCACGCACCGCGTTGATCCCGGACAGTTGCTGGCCCGCCATGAGCACTATGATAGAGATCAGCTGCCAGCGCAGGGGCCGAAAGGTGAAGAGGTTGAGCACGGACAGGCGACCCTCGGCTCGCTCGGTACGCTCCTCTGTACGCATTTCTTCCATCTCGGCCTCCACATTGTAGTTGTGACCTCGAAGCCTCCTTAGAGCTGCAGAGCAGAGAGGCAGCACACCACACTCACTCTTCTGCCCTATCGTACCTCAGCCAGGCCCTTCTCAAGCCTCCCCGTCCCCAGTCACCACTGCTCACCCTGCACAAGCTCTCTGCTCTCAATCTCTGTCCACTGTGACCCTGACCCGGATCACAAACTCACCAGATGGTACCTGCCCGTTCCGTGCCCCGTTCCCCTTTGTGCACTGGGAGCCTGGGTGAGCAGCCTGAGTCCCTGTACCTTGTCTTGCCGTCTCCTCGTCTCCTTTCTCAATCAGAGTGTAGCGGGGGCTCTCAGGGAAGAAGGGCAGAGAGAGGAGCTGAATCAGTGCAGGGATTCCTGTGACAGCCAAGAGGATTGGCCAGCCTGGATGGAACATAAATGGCGGCCTGAGACTCGAATCTGCTGCAGGGAACCTACAGAGGCACAGGTGCTTTCCCTCCAGCTCCCCCTCACCCCCGCCCAACCAGGTGGTAAGCGAGGGTGGTGGCCACCTAGTCCTTGCCAAGATGTCGCTGCTCACAGAGAACATCGTGTTAAAAAATAGAGGAAAGGACTTGGTGGATAAGGACACTTGCATGAGGGCCTCAGCTGACCTACAAGGACCTACCTAAAAAGCTGTTTGTGCATGCCCGTGACCCCAACATTCGGGTGGGTGGGTTGGGGTGGGTCGGGGGAGCAGATCCAGGGAGCTAGCTCATTGGCTGGCCAGCCTAGCCAAGCTTATTTCTGGGTCTTCTCTCATCTCCAGGAGTCAGCAACCCTGCCCGGGGCAAGGTCCTCTATATCCACAAGCTGACCTAAAGGTCACCAAAACACTTTCCTGTTTAGACTATGGGTACCTTCCGGCTCAGTTGAACCAGGGGCTGTACCACACATGACCACGGCTTATTAGCTCTCCACACCTCACCCCCACACGTTGCTGGTTACCTGTGGCATTGCCTAGGATGGCCTGCAGGCTGAAGATCTGAGCCAAGAGGACTCCAGTGATGACAAATACCTCTGTCATTGTCCCTAATGTACCCCTGAGGTTCTGGGGACCCAGTTCTCCCAGGTACATGGGAAGGGTACTGTACGCGATGCCTGGTTCAGAGGAAATGGGAATCAGGACCATTAAGAACAGTCCCCAGCCTCTCAGAACCCAGTGCCTCAGGTTGTTTGAACCACATCTCTTAAACCTTGAATCTCTTGCAGGGAGGATGCTATGGGAACTGGAGGAGCCTGCTCCTTATTGCTTAGGTTAAACCTGCAGCCACAACTTCCCCCAACCCGCCCATTCAGAGGGAGAAATTCCTTTTCCTAAAGTCCAGCATTTAGACAAAAACTAGTATTCCCTCAGGGACTGGAGAAAGTAGTCCCTACCTGGACAAAAAGTCACTCTTATTTCTTATGAAGGGATCCCTGGCTCTTCCATTAATATATGCCTGTGGTGTCTATTAGCACATCAAGTTCTATGCCGGGATCTAGGTCCATCAGTTCTTACAAGCGCCTGTTAGACACTTCAAAGCCCTCCATCCCAGCATACAGGTTCCCTCCTTCCCAGTCAACTGTTCCCTTAAAACTCTAGAAATATCTCACCACCACCACCACCACCACCACCACCACCACCACCACCACCACCACCACCACATATGTCACCCCCAGCTCCTGTCCCTTCTCTCTGCTTTCCAGAGACACAGAGGTTTAAAATAAACTTCTCCCTTTTCATCCACAGAACAGCTGTTTTGGTTTCTTTACTACGGGCTTCAAAAAAATGATACTGTTTCCTTCCTGACTTCTGGGTCAGATTACTGTTAGAGGGGAGGACTCTAGGCTGTGTAGTAATTGTTTGTATCCTTCTTATTTTGGTTGATTTCCTTTTCTTCCTTCCTTCCTTCCTTCCTTCCTTCCTTCCTTTCTTTCTTTCTTTCTTTCTTTCTTTCTTTCTTTCTTTCTTTCTTTCTTTCTTTCTTTCTTTCTTTTTGAGACAGGGTTTCTCTGTGTAGCTCTGGTTGTCCTGAAATGCTCTCTCTAGACCAGGCTGGGCTTGAACTCACAGAGATCCCTCTGTCTCTCCCTCCTGAGTGCTGGGATTAAAGATGTGTGCCACCACCTCCTGGTGGTCTTCTGTTATTTCTTAAGCACACATCACTTACATAGCCTTTTGGTTTTGTTTTGCTGTGATACTCAGCATGCATGCTAGCAAGTACTCTGCTTCCGAGCAGGGCTCAGCCCTTTCATTATTTTGTGTGTGTGTGTGGGGGGGGAGGGTCTGGGATGGAACCTGGAACTTTGTGTATACTCTAGCAGTCAGCCACATTCCTAGCCCTAGATCTCTCATTTTAAAAAAATAAAAGAAAACACAATAGTGAAGAATCTTAACTGCTGCCTGAGACAGAGACTTTGGATTCTGTATTCTCAATGTAAACTGTTTGTCTTTAACACAGACAGCTATCTGTGGTAGTCTGAATGAACATGCCCCCATAGATTCACAGGAAGTGCCATTATTGGAAATGTGGCCTTGTTGGAGGAAGTGTGTCACTGGAGGAGGGGCTTTGAAGTTTCAGAAGCTCAAGCCAGGCCCAGTAGCTCAGTGTCTCTTCCTGCTGCCTTGTAGATCTGGATATAGAACTCTCAGCTACCTCTCCAGAACTGTATGTGCCTGCATGTCACCATGCTTCCCACCATGACAATAATGGACTGAATCCCTGTATTGTAACCAGCCCCAAAGAAATGCTTCCTTTTGTAAGAGTTGTCGCATTCATGTTGCAATAGAAACCCTAAGACCTTGGAAGTTACATGCAGAGCTGGTTTGGTAAGGGAAGTCCCTCCTCCCAATCTGTCCTCTCCTCTCTCTTCCTTCCTTTCTAAAGTCTCAGGATTGTTAGGTCTCAAACCAGGGACAAATGGCAAGGGTGCCTATTTAACATATCAAAGCAGGGACACTGAAAGATTCTCCTAGCATCCCGCTGTCCCTCTCTGTCACAGAGTCCTCCTGGCTGGCAAACCCTCTCCCCTCTCCTAAACTTCTCCAGCCTGGGGACTGAGCTTGCCCTTCCCCAGTGGACCTTACCTATGTAATCCAGACATTTTGGTTATACGGGTTCTTCTACTTTCACCCTCCTGGTTTCCGGGCTCTCTCCTCTCTTCTCTTCCCTCTCATCACATGGTCCAGCTCAGGGTCCTGGTCACTCTGGGCCCTTCCAGATGCCCCTGACTATGCTGTCCCTCGTATTTCCAATAAACCTTCTCCTGCACAGACTTAGGAGCAGTCATGGCCTCCTATTTATTTATTTATTTATTTATTTATTTATTTATAGCCCTGACTGGTCTGGAGCTTGCTGGATAGACTGGCTTAGACTTGAATCTACAGCAATTCACTTTACTCTGCCCTCTGAGTGCTGGGCTATGGGCAAGGTGGAAGACTTCATCCCATAACAGGGAGGAGACAGAAAGCACAGGGCCTGCTAGGACCTAGGACTGGAAACTGGAGGAAATCTAGGGAGGAAAGAGCAGATAGCCTGACCCGCTGTGTCCAGTGTTAGCTCCTGGTGCTGGGCACCTATGTCTCAGAGCTGTCCCCTGACCAGTGCACATCAGAACACCCTGGGTCTTCGGTGGCCCTCCTAAGGTACCTGCGCAGATTCCCACCAGCACTCGAGACAAGATGATCAGCTCAAAAGCCCGGGCCACTTTGCTGACTCCCATCAGGATGGCAGAGGTTATAGCGAAGACATTGTTGATCAACAGTGTTCCCTTTCTGCAAGACAGCAGGGACCAGAAGGCAGGGGCGCCCAGTAGGTGCTTTGACACCCCAAACCCAGTATTCCAGGCTGCTCCCTACAGAGGTGCTAGACCGTGCCTGAGAAGGACTGGAAGATGAGACCATGTCCTGGAATGTCCCCACTCATGTATATGCTGCATTCCCTGCCCCTCAGTGTGAGTGGCTAGGTCTTCTCATGATGGACTAGGTTCTTATAATACATAACGCTCTCTCCACAGATACAAAAGAAGGCCCATGCTGACCAAGAATGGGAAAGCTGTAGGGGAATTGGAAGTATGTTAAGGTTCCAATAGGAAGCTGAGGGGCTAGCAAGAGTGGGGGAGGGCAGGTGTGTTTCAAGCACTGCAGTGGGAGCTTCCTGTGACTGGTGGGCAGTTAAACCCCAGTGGTGATGTCTAGCCCAGACCTGATGTTGGTCAGGGATGCTGACCAGACAGATCCTCGTAACAGATGGGGTTCAGAATGGGGCTACGACCTCTATGACCCACAAGACTGAAACCCAATGGTCTGTGGAGGGCAGGGCTGAGAAACAGCACTGAGCTTGTTTTTTTGTTTTTTTTTTTCTTTTTTTGAAAAAGGGTCTCACGTATCCCAGGCTGGCCTTAGATTTGCGCTGTAGCCAGGCCTCCTGCCTCTACCCACTGAGCGCTGGGTTATAGCTGCATTCTCAGTCTAAGGGCTGCTGATTCCTCCCTGTCTTCATATCTGGAGGTGTCAGTGGCAGAGGACCCAGCCCCTGACTGTTACAGGTAAAGAAGGGCCAATAGGGTCCTTCTAAAAAATAGACTCTGCCAGTCAACACCCCAGGATGTGCCAAGATCCACATATGTGAGCCCTGGAGACCCAGGGGGATGAATAGCACATGGCAGTCCTACACTTCTGATACCTCTTCCTCTTCCTGATCCCTAAGAAGCCTGTTGGCCTCCCAGAGGCTCAGGCTGGTGGGTCCCCACTAGGCAGGTTGCCTCTACCTCTCCCGCTGGTCTTCCTTTTTAATATGAGACTAGGGAAAGATTGTCTTTGAGAGGCTGAGTGAAGTGCTGCACACCTTTAATCCTGGCATTAGGGAGGCAGAGGCAGAGGAATCTCTGTGAATGACAGGCCATCCTGATCTACATAGTGAGACAATATCTCTAAATAAAAAACAAACAAACAAATAAAGGTCTACAGAAGAAGGATGTAAAGCCTGGGTCTTTAGAACAGTCTAATTGATGTTTACAGGCGACAACTGTGTATAGCCTGACCTATAGCAAAATTAGAATCTATCAAATTCTTTCTTCACTCAAGCACACAAGAGAGGACAAGTATTTACAAGGAGAGGCTTCTGGGTCCAGCTTTCATAAACAGACAGCTTCCAACTGATAATATTTTTTTTAATTCGGGGAAATGGAGCCTGGCTGCTGTGTTTTGGGAGTTATTTGTCCCGAGGGGGTTCTCCACACTCCATCCTTACACAGCCTAACTTGGCCTGACAACTTCGATCAAGAGTAAGCCTGCCCGTGCAGAATGCAGCTGTGCCCCACCCTGTGACTTTAGCTCAGCCTTCATCTTCCTGGGGACCTTGAACTGCACAAACCTCCTTATCTTCAGCCATGCTTCTGCAGCGCGGGCCTCTGAGAAGCCAAGCAAAGTGCAGCACGAAGCTGGGCTACACCTCCAAGGCAGATACGAGACCAAGGCACGTGTGGTGACTCAGCCTGGCTCCCAGCTTCGCGACAGCACGTGGCTGAACCCATGTGTGGGGTGCTGCTGGAACCCAAAGCCACCTGACCCCAGAATGAACCCCTCGAGTGGCATTTCTGGATCCCTCTACAGCGCTAACGAGGTACTGAGCTGGGCACCATCAGAAGTTGTTCCTACACAGCTGTCAGGGCGAAAGAGATTCCAAAGGGTCTGTGGCAATCTGGAAGCCTGTTTTTAGATCTGATTTTCGGGGTGGTCTCAGCTACCCACCAGCAACTCAATCATCAAGAGAGCCCACGGCTAAGATGGATCTCAAGTTCCGGAATGCCATCTCCCATTTACCTGCCCCACTTATTGACCATCAGGCCCACCACCAAGGACCCCAGCAACCCTCCCAGAGGGAACATGGAGACCGTGCAAGACCACAGGAGCAGCAGGGTATTCTCATCCATGTACGTTCCGTGTCGCTCAAAGTACGTGTCATTGTAAAACGACTTCAGGACCTGAAAGACAGGACCCCATCCGTTGCTCAGGATACTGTGCAACTCACAGAAATGGTGGTGTAAGTTCTAAGCTGTCCCTTGTCATCCATCTCACAGAGATCACACATTCCTGCCGGTACCCACAGGACACAATTGGCTGGGGGTTTCTGTTGGTACCTGGGGAGCAAAATAATATTTGAGGAGAAGAGATAGAAAGCCAGCCAGAAGGAAAGTTGTTAAAAATTCACTTCTGCAGCCTTATCCTGCCAGAGGAAATGCGGGAAAGATTCACACTAGCCTGGGGACGCTGGGCAGGGGTCGCTGGGCACGGGGTCGACCTTCACAGGCTTATTCTCTTGCCAGTTATAGAAAGCATCTACTTCTGTGATAAAACACCTAAAGCCAACCGGGGAGGGAAAGGTTTCACTTCAGCTTACAAGTTTCAGGTCACCCGCCATCACTGAGAAAAGTCAGGGCAAGCACTCACCAGGGACTTGGAGGCAGGAGCAGAGGCAGAGGCCTTGGAGGAGTGCTGCTTACTGGCTTGCTCCTCATGGCTTGCTCAGCCTGCTTTTATATACAACTCAGAACCACCCGCCCCAGATGGTACCACCCACCATGAGCAGGGTTCTCTCAGAACAAACCATCAACAAGAAAATGCACCATTGTCTCTCTCACCCATAGGCCAGTCTAGTGGGAGTATTTTCTCAATTTAGGCTCCCTCCTTCAAAACAACGCCAGCTTGTGTCAAGTCAACATAAAACTAGCCAGGGCATTAATTATAGTAGTGACATAGCATAGTGCCCATGTCATACTTAGAAGTGATGACCCAGGGCTGTGCATTCAGTTTACATGGCAGAGAGCTTGCCCTATATGCATGAAGCCCTGGGTTCCATCCCCAGCCCTGAAGAAGATTCGTAGATGTATACCTGTAACCTTAGCACTTGGGGGGTGGTAGAGGTGGGAAGATCAGAATTCAAGGCCTGCTTCAGCTATATATATAAAATTTGAGGTCAGGTACAGCTACATGAGACTCTGCCTTTAAAGGGCACGGTGGGGTAGGGAGGCTGGAGAGATGGCTCAGCAGTTAAGTCCACTTAATGCTCCTGCAGAAGACCAGAGTTTGGTCCCACATCCATATCAGATGGCTCACAGCCACCAGCTTCAGAGGCTCTTCTTGTCACTATTGGGACACACACACAAACACACATGCAGAGAGAGATGGAGAGAGATGGAGAGAGATGATGGAGAGAGAGAGAGAGAGAGAGAGAGAGAGAGAGAGAGAGAGAGAGAGTCAAACTGGAGGAATAGCTCAATGGTGGAGCCCTTGGCTACCATTCCAGGCCTTGGATTTAATTCTTGATACCACAAAATCCCAACCCTCCAGAGGCCGAGGCAAGAGGATGGTTCAGGGCCAGCTCACCAGCTTCTTGTATATAATGTCTCAAAAAACTTAGGCCTGGGACAGGTAAGATGGCTCAGTTGGTGAAGATGCTCACTGCCAAGGCTATGACCTGAGTGAGATTCCCCAAGGTAGACGCAGAAGAAAAGTCCTGTGTGCTGTCTTCTGACCTTTACACAAGCACTCACTATGGCAAGTACATGACCCACACATATGCAGACACACTCAAGACACACTGAATAACTCCCAATAAATAACTGCAATAGCACAAGCAATAATACAAGTATATTTTTTCTTCTCTGTCTTTTGAGACAGGGTCTCTCTATGCAGTCCTGGCTGTTCTGAAGCTTGCTAGGTAGAGGAGGTTGGCCTTGAACTCATAAGAGATCCCTCTGCCTCCCCAGTGCTGAGATTAAAAGTATGTACCACCATGCCTGGTGCAATAAAATCTCTTTTTGAAAAACCACCTGGGCTGAGGATGTTGTTCTGTGGTAGGACACTCTTCTGGCGTGCGTGAGGCTCTGGGTTTGATTCTTAGTATTGCAAAATATACCACCACGAAAACCTTCATAGGATCAAAGGTGCTTCATTAATGATACTGAGATAATGAATCTATGTATGGACAATGTACACACAGGCCCAGGCTTCTGCTGCACACCACCTGTCTCCCCCTGAACTTGCTCCAGCCAACTTTTATCTCTCTTGCTTCTCCTTGACCCAAACACAATTCCTAAGTGTTAACAGAATTTATTCTTGATGTGTCTGTCATCCACAAATGGCCCTCCCCGGAGAGCAAGGCAAGGTGCCCAGGCAGAGAATCCAGGTGCCTCCCGCCCCATGTCCCTAGAGAAGATGACATTGCTGGAGAAAACAGCTCTAGCTGCCCCTGGTCCTCAGAGGTGGGCATCTAGGGGACACCTAGAAATAAGTGGAAGCTTCCAGAAGCAAGACACTCACTGACTTCTACCCGCTGAGACCCACCTTGTGCCCACCTTGTGAGGTGTGTTGATCACGGCGATGTTGTAGCCATATTGGAAGACTGAGCCGAAGGAGGCACTTAGGGTAGTCAGGACCAGTGTGGGCTGGAGGCGCTGGACCAGAGAGTTGCAAGGTCAAAGACTCTGTAGGGTTGGCTCCTGTCACTTCTGGGACTGGGGTGAGGTAAGGGTGACCAGGCCCCCACTTTCTCCTTAGGGAGAGAGGGAGGTCTGGCTGAGAGCAGGCTGCAATCTTGGAAGGAGGAGGAGGGGGTTATCTGGGAAGGTGACCCAAGCAGGTGTTGTCTTGTTTCTAGGTACACATTTTTCCTGCCTTTGACCTTGAAGGTGTAGGGACAGGTAGGGCTGTGAAGCGGTACTATCTGGCTTCCCCAGGTTTCACCACCGGAGCATGCTTACATCTCAGCCATGGGGCTTGGGTGTGTCAGTCCCTCTGAGACCATTTGGGTAGGTGATCTCCCAAACCCTCCTTGATAGATTGATTCCAGGGCCCTCATCTGCAAACAAAGGTCTCCAGCTTGGTGGCAGAGAGACAGTTTCCAGAATTGGCACTTACCGCTTCCATGTGTGGCGAGGACAGAGGTGTCCCTGTCTCCTTGTTCTCTGTTCTTATTGAGGTAGATGTACAGGTGTGCTGTGCCTCTCGGATGCTACAGGGTCCTGCTCTGCCGGCTGCCCTGCTGGATCTGCTGGTTCCCCGAGGCTGGCCTCCCATATGAACCTCTTGCCCTCTGGACCTTTAATGGCTTTCTGCACGAGACCATTCTTCTTGGCAGCTGATAAGATATGTGTTGATGCTTTGCCAGTGGCATCCATGCACGGGGTGGATACCTCTTTACGTCCTACAACCCACAACCAGCAGCCTCCCTGTTGCCACAAGGAAGGGAAAGAACACTGGTTGGTCCCCTCAAATGAGTTCTGGGAAGCAAGGCAAGCTGCAACTTTGAACTTCTCTTGGGCTTTTCCTCTAGATGTACCATCCTTATACCTTGGCTAATTGTCTGTGTGGGGAAAGAACCCCAGTTGTTTTCTAGTGCAAGTTTGCTGGCCATGGGGGCAAACACCTATAATCTCAGCACTTGGGGGTCAGGGACAGGAGAACCATGGGTTTGAAATTAGTCCAGGAAACACAGTAAGACCTCATATAAAAACAAAACAAAACAAAACAAAACAAAACAAAACAAAACAACAAAACCAAAAACCAAACCAAGGGCTGAGGAGAGGGCTCTGTGGCAACCAGCTGCTGAGTGTGTGGAAGATTCTGGATTCCATTTTTGGTATTGTAAAACAAGACAAAAAGACAACCTTAATAATTTTATATTTATAATTAATTTATTATTATTTATTATAGCATTATTATTGCTGCGTATGGGCGGGGGTGTGCATGTGTCACAGCGCACATATGGAGGTCAGAGGACAGCTTGCAGGGGTCAGTTCTCTCCCTCTTCCATGTGAGTCACTGAGATTGAACTCTGATTGTCAGGACTGGTGTAGCAAGCATCTTTATCAGCTGAGCCATCTCATGGGCCTTCTGTGGTGTTTTGTTATCTCTCCATGTGCATTAGTTCTTTTCCTGTTGTTGTGATAAAACACAATGACCAGAGGCAACTTAAAGAAGAGAGAGTTTATTTTGGCTTATGGTTCCCGAGAGGTAAGAGTCCATTATTGCCAGGAGGCAGCAGGAGGCAGGCAGCTGGGGCAGGAAGCTGAGAGCTCACATATTTAATGGCAAGCTCAGAGCAGAGAGAGCAAATCAGAGGTAGGGTGAGAGTATATAGTGCCACAGCCCACGCACAGTGACAGCTGCACTACCCAGAGCTTCCCAAACCGCTTCACCAACTGGGAATCAAGTGTTCAAATACCAGAGCCATGGGGACACTTCTCGTTTGTTTGTTTGTTTGTTTGTTTGTTTGAGACAAAGTTTCTCTGTATAGCCTGGCCTGTCCTGGAACTCACTCTGTAGACCAGACTGGCCTCAAACTCAGAAATCTGCCTGCCTCTGCCTCCCAAGTGCTGGGATTAAAGGCGTGCGCCACCACTGCCTGGCTGACACTTCTCATTTAAAACACCATGGTGTGTGTGTGTGTGTGTGTGTGTGTGTGAGAGAGAGAGAGAGAGAGAGAGAGAGAGAGAAGTGTGTGACTGTGGACATGCATGAGAGGTCACAGGACAACTTCAGGCGTCTGTTATTGGCTTCTACCTTGTTTGAAACTGGGTCTATTACTATTTAATGTTGCATGTACTATGTTAGGGGTGGCTAGCTTCTGGGGATTCTCCAGTCTCTGTCTCCTGTCTTTACAAATGATTGTAGGGGGTGGTTCTGATGCTTTGATTGGGAATCTGCGTTTGAATGCTGAAGGTCCTGTTCCCCAATTGGTTCTTGATCAATCAATAAAGATGCTAGTATCCAATGGCTGGGAAGAGGTGGGACTTCCAGGTTCCCGCAGGCAGGCTAGGAGACACAGATGAGGAAAGGAGATTTACCATGATTCAGAGGGAGATCCACCAGCCATGTGAGATCTCATGTGGACTGACCATTGGCTGCCTCCCTGGCTGGGCCTGGGGTAGCAGGTGGGAGATTAGAAACACAACTAAGCTGAGGGCAGATTCGGAAGTGTTGAGCTAGGAGTGAAGATCTGATAGCCACAGGAGGCTTAGAAGTGCCCAACCATTGTGCTAAAAAGCATATTTAAAATTAGCCAATGTGTGTGTGTGTGTGTGTGTGTGTTTGTATGTCTTTCAATGGTGGATGCAAGGGAACCAGGGCAGTGGCTGGTAGCACGTTCTGCCTGGAGCTTAAAGCGGGCTAGTAGAAACTATGCTACAAATGATTAATGGGATTCAGACCTGTGCTACTATGTCCAGCTGTTACATAAGTTATAAGAACTCAGGACCTTGGGCTGGTGTGGCAAACATTTTACCCACTGAACCATATCCTTAGCCCATGACCTTCTTATTTCTAATTATAGTTAGAAATGTAAGTATTAGGAATAATGGCTAGAAGTAATTAGTAAATAATTGTAATTGCTGTGATTTGGATCTGTGACACCCCAAAACCTGTGTGTTTGGGCCTCAGGTTGTTTGGTGGAAACCTTTAGGGGTCAGGCTTGGCAGGAAGCCATGGGTTATTGCGATGTGCTCTTGAAGAGGATTGTGGGATTCCTGTGTCTTCCTTTCCCTTCGCTTCTTGGCTATGAGGTGAATGAGCTTTATCTGCTCTGTGTTCCCATCATGATGTGATGACTCAAGACACAAAAGCAAAAGTACAAACTGACCATACAGGGACAGCTCCCAAACAGATGTAAGTGCATTCCTGTTTTAAAGTTGACTATGGGGCTGGCAAATGGCTCAGAGTAAAGGTGTGTGCTGCAGGGTCTGATGCCCTAAGTTCAATCCAGGAAACCACATGGTAGAGGGAGAGGGCTGATCCCCTTTGTCAGGAAGAGGATAACTACTGACAACACATGTTTAATAAGTCAATAAAATATATAAAGACAGAAGATAGTCAGAATTATCCTTTAGGAAAGAAAGGAAGGAAAGAAGAGAAGGAAGGAAGGAGGAGAGGAAAGAAGAGTGGGAAGAAGGGTAGGAGGAAGGGAGGGAGGAAGGAAAGAAGGGAGGGAGAAAATGGAGGGAAGGAATTGGTTCTGTATACCTGTTCAAAAGCCCATGGCTAGGGCGTTGTCTTCGTCACTGCTCTATTACTGGAAAGAGACACCATGACCAAAACAACTCTTATAAGAGAAGACGTTTAATTGGGGCTGGCTTACAGTTTCAGAGGTTTAGTCCATTATCATCATGGCGGGGAGCATGGCTGCACTCAGGCAGGTGCTGGAGAAGTAGCTGAGAGCTACAGCCTGATCTATGCCTGTCTTGGGTTTTTAGAACCTCAAAGCCCACTCCCAGTGACTCACTTCCTCCAACAGGGCCACATTTCCTAATCCTTCTAATCCTTTCAAACAGTCCTGGTGACTGAGCATTCTAATCCTTCTAATCTTTTCAAACAGTCCTGGCGACTGAGCATTCAAATAATGGCTCTATGGGGCCACCCTTATTCAAACTGCCACAGAGGTCATAGGCCTAGGGGGAAACCTATTGTTTTGCTCAAAGGTCATATTGTCAAACTGCCTTCTAAATGTGTGAGCGTGAGTGTGTGTGTGTGTGTGTGTTTACACTTATACATTAGTGCTGCTTTCAATCTTGGTTGGAGAAGCTTTTTTTTTGCAGTGAGCATGGAGGTCAAGGCAGAGACTCATATCACTGGGGTTCAGAAATCACCACACAAGACACTCGGACACCAATCTCAGACATGACCAAAGTTTATTGAATGCGTAATTCAGACTGATGGATTAGGGTCATAGAGAATACTCAGGAGCCAGACTATGATGTTGGTTTGTTCTTAGGGCAGGCTTTTTATAGGAAAACCAAGTGTAGAAGGCAAGTGGTGTGTGTGTGTGTTACATTTTGCCTAACTAGATAGAGTATCATCAGCTGACCTTTAAGCTGATTGGTCCTCGGTGAGGTAAGTGAGGTGGAGGTTAGGGGTTTTCCAGAATATTGAGATAACAGAACATGAGTAATGCAGCCATAGCATGTGACCTTTTAGGAGAATTTTTTAGTGTCAGCTACAAATAATTACTTCTGGGAAGCAGAGTCAAGAACCTGAACTTAATTTCACACTTTGAGCAAAATGGAGACTAAATACAAAATGGCTACAGTCATGTTAAAAGGAGTAGGCCTCAACAATTGGTCTGGGCTGGAGAGATGGCTCAGTGGTTAAGAGCACTGGCTGCTCTTCCAGAGGTCCTGAGTTCAGTTCCCAGCAACCACATGGTGGCTCACAACCATCTGTAATGGGATCTGATGTCCTCTTCTGTAATGCAGGTGTACACGCAAGAGAGCACTCATATAATAAGTAAGTAAGTAAATAAATATTTTAAGGAAACCAAATGTGTGAATGCTGTGTGTGTATGTGAGTGCTGTGTGAGTGCTATGTGTGAGAGTGTGAGTGTTGTGAGTGTTGTGAGTGTTGTGAGTGCTGTGTGTGTGAGTGCTGAGTGTGCATATATGTGTGTGTGAGTGCTGTGTGAGTGTGTGTGTGAGTGCTGTGAGTGCTGTGTGAGTACTGTGTGTGTGAGTGCTGTGTGTTTGAGTGCTGAGTGTGCATATGTG